TCCAGAATTTCTAGAGTTCATAAATGACTTTTAGTGACTTTGCCTCGATTTGAGAAAATTTTTTTTATAGAGATGTAGCATTCTACTGTAGATACCATTAGTGTGGGAGTCATGAAATAAAAGGTCTCTTCTGTCAACTCCTTCAAAGATTGTTTGGGCATGATAGATTACCTGCACTGTTAATAAGAGGAATGATATTATTTACTGCCTATCCAAAAGAAATATGGGGAGAATTCATAAAATATTTGTAAATGTTTTCTACCTTGCTGTGAAAATGTGCTTTGGGTAATGTTTTACTTTTGACTTGGCTCCTCTCTAGTTGACTGGTGCCTAAAATACTATCTCTAGGCATCCAGGGAGAATTGCCTCTTATAGGTCTCCTATCCCTAGAGGGGACACCTGGGATATAGGTATTCCTGTATTTACTCATATTAATACAACTTTAATATTTTAAGCCTCTCTTATTTCTCCAGTCCTCCAGTCATACACATGAGGCTCCCTCTATGTCTTAGTAGTTGAGTATCATGAGTTGCTGTGATGAAATACCAAATCATCATTAAGTGGTCATATATCTGTTGAAGAATTTTCTGAGTGTATTTGAACAACAGAGATGGGATCTGTTGCTGGGCTTGTACTCTAAGCCTTTCCAATGTGGCAGGACATTCCAGAGCTTGTAATCCTCTGGCATAGTCTTCAAGAACCAAGGTTACCTCCTAGACCAAGACAAGAGATAGGAGTGATGTTTTAGTGGGAGTATTTGTATTTCTTACCCTATCTTTATTTCTTAGATTGACATGGTTTTGATCCATTACATCTGATTCTTCCTGGGGTCCACATGTAAATTATTGTAATGACACCTCACCTGTTTGAGAGAGATCAATACATTCTATGACTTAGTAGCAAGAATGTAATTGTTTCCAGTATTTTATTCAGGAGAAAGCTACTATCAATGATCTTGTTACCAAAAACCTCACTGAGCCTCTTAAAAAATAGGAACTGCAGGGCCCCCTGCACATATAAATGACAATGCCCTTCTGTACAACTAAATTTGTTTGTTAGCAATTTCTTAACCCTCTTTAAAGCAGTTGTTTTGAGATTGAGGATAATTATTCTCATTCTAAGTATAGAAGCCCAGCCAAAAACAAAGATTTATCTCCCCCTTGTCTTATACCACCCCACCTTTGGTTCTTTGGAGGAAATTATTTGTGAGGTTTAATACTGTGTAGGACTGTTTTCAGTATATTCTCATCCATTCCCATGATTCAAATTATTATCTTTATTCAGATGACCCCCAAATCTGCATCTCCAGCTCTTACCCCTCTACTGAACTCAAATATTTGAATTTTAATTAACTTCCAGACATGGACATCTCCATGGATATGTCCCATTGACGTTTAGAACTTAACATTTTCATAATGAAGCTCATCTTCCTTAAACTTTGCTCTCTAAACTTCCTGTTTCTATTGAAGGAACTCTGGCAACTAGTTGGGTGAGGGAGATGGGGTCAGGAAGACCTGAACTTGAATCCTTTCTCAGACAGGCTATCTAGCTTTGTAAGCCTGGACTAGTCACATAACCACATAACCTTCGTAACCACGAATGGTAAAATATAGCATAAACAAGCTACAATGAATTCGATAATCCTTTTAAATTAGTTGGGATGTTGTGGCAAAGTGACACCCGAAATGGAGGAAAGAGGATTATACTGATTGTCCACAAGCTGTCTGGGTCATTTTATGGGTTTGTATTTGTTTATGGGCTCCTATGAGTCTTTTTCATCTTCTAAATTTTCTGTATACAATAGGGTAAAGGTGATCCCACATACAATTTCAAGAAAGAACATTGTTATGAAAGTTAGAAGGGTTCAAATTCTACTTGTTTCTTATTGGGCCAGCCACTTAAACTCTATGGCACTATTTCTTCAGCTGTAACATGAAGGGGGTTCCTCAGTTTCCTCGGCTTCTATGACTTCTATTTCCAATTTACCTCAACCGTACTTTCCTTCTCACTATCTATCATATTCACTGGTCCCTTCCAGCTCTAAATCTATGATCCTCTAAAACCTATCCTCCAACCTAGAAGGCTAGAGAGGAGATGGCCAGAGACTCTAAAGTGAAGTTATGGATTGTTGGGGCTTTTCCCAAATGAGTGGTTGGACAGAGACAATCTCCAGGGAGAGTATAAGGATAGGTCTTTGTTATTGGGCTTAGGTCTGAGCAGAGTCAGGGCAGTAAGCAAGGCCAGGACAATATCCCAGAGTTTTCATATGCCACCAAAAAGGAAGAGAAGAAACCCACCAGGGAAGATTCCTGTACTAACCAGAGCTATGTCGAGATAGAGGTAGGCTTTCTTGCTACCTTCATCCCAATTTAAGCAAACAGAAGGGGTCAGTTGGCAAATAGTGATATTTCTAGGGATACTGGGAGAGATGGGAACACAGATGTAAAGTTATAATAATCAATATTATCCAGAAGAGTACTGAAAGTGGCTTGTTTTTGTCCCTACCTGCCCCCAACCTATTCTATAATAAATTTAATTTGTATACCTCATTAGCTCCTATATTCTTCCACCTTCCCTTTCCATTATGCCCTCTGGAATGCTAATGTAGAAATCACAAACTCATCTTTACCCTAGAACTCTTCCTTTCATAGTCTAACTCAGCTCAAATCTAGCCTTCTGCAAAATCTCTCTTCTCTCTCACTACTTCCTTTCCTCTGGGTTCGCCTCTCATTCTCTCTCTCTCTCTCTCTCTCTCTCTCTCTCTCTCTCTCTCTCTCCCCCCTCTTTCTCTCAATATACATACACATACATATATAAGTATATATATGTGTGTATATGTGTACGTGTGTGTATATATATATATATACATATATATGTATACATATATAATACGTATGTCTGTATGTGTATATATGTATACACACAGTTTCCGCAGCTTCTTGAGGTTAGAGAGTGAATGTCTTTTGCTTTTCTACATGTCTCTAGTACTTAGCATGCCTGGACACTTGATAAATGTTTGTCAAGTGACTAAGTGGCTGAAGGCACCATATAGCTTGCTTTTCAATAGATTTAATTGATATCTTATGTTTTTAACATCATCTATATTTCACCCTTTACCTTTCTCCCTGCCTCCTCCCCGAGAGTTTTACTTATAACAAAGCAGCCTTTAAAAGAGAAATAAAAGAAAACAATTAGGAAAACTGAGGAATACATTAATATATATGTATACATATACATATATACATTAACATTATATATATATATATATATATATATATATATATATATATATATATATATATATATATATATATGTATATGATGTTGTATACTCATCCCCCCTCTACTTCTGCCAAGGGAGAGGGAAAGAATTTCTCTTAGTACCCTTTATAAGACTGACTGCCCTTCTTTTACTCCCATTGACCCACTTGACCATGAGGAAGAAATGCCATGTACCTTGTTCCCCTCCACCAGTTTCAGCCACAATAACAAAGCAACCACCACTACTCCTTTACAATTCACTTCATACTTACTCTATCTTTGTTGTTGTCATCAGTGTACAACTAGGTAACTCTCCCTTCTCCCTAATAAGTTCAGGAAGTGGCTCACAGTTGCATTTTCTACCACAATCCCTTGCCCTTTGAGTACCCTGCTCCTGATATTCCTTGGCTTTTATAACCTCTTTATAATCTACCTCAATCATGCATAGGATTAGTCACTCCCACTAACTATTACATCAACTGAATTTGCCTTGGGTGCTAGAATTTCTCATTATGGCTTTGCCTCAGAGTCTTTCATTTCCCTCTGCCTCATATACATATTCCTTATTCAATCAGTTGGCAAGACCTGTCAATTCTACTTCTTCAGTGTACTGTGGATCCACTTCCTTCTCCCTACTTATAGCCATTGTTACCTCTTGCCTGGACTATTGCAATAGCCTCCTCACTGAGCTTCTTGCTTCAAGTCTCTCCCCTCTCAAATCTATCCCTTGTAAAATTGCTAAAGAAGTCTTCCTAAGCAAGAGGTCTCAGCAGATCATTCCTTTTTTTGAAAACCTTAGGTGACTCCAAATCCTTTTATGATAAAATAAAAACTTCTTGTCCTGAAATTGAAGGCTTGCCAAAAGCTACCTCTGCCCTACAGCATTAGATTTGGGGTCAGGAAGACCTAAGTTCAAAAATGTCTCAGCCACTTATTAGCTGTGTATCTCTGGGCTACTCATTTAGTCTCTCTTGGCAGTTTCTTCATCTCAGTGTAGTATGAGGCATTTGGACTTGATGGCCTCAGAAATCTTTTCCAGCCCTAAATCTAATTACCTTTTATTCTACCATTCTGGCTTCATCTCCTATTACTCCCCATCACATAGTCTTCATTCCAACCAAATTGGAATTGAACTTGACATGCATTGCCATAAGCTGTGGCCTATGACTAGAGCACCTCCCTTCTATTTCTGTTACTGCAATCCTTATGTCCATTCAGGGCTCAGATAAATATGGTCTCTTTCTTGAAACCTCAGGTCTCTCCAGTCTGAGCTTCTTTTATAAATGATCTTGTGTCATAATTATTCATGTAAGCATTTTAGTATTTCAGTAGAATATAAACTACTTGAGGGAGTGAACTTTTGAATTTTTCCTCTTTATTGTCTACCTAGGGAAAGAAAAGGGGATAAGTATTTATATAATATCTACAAAGTTTCAGGCATCATGCTAAGTATTTTACAAATGTTATCTCATTCGATACTCAAAACAACCCTGTTATTAGCCCCATTTTACAGTTGTGGCAAACAGAGGTTAAAGGACTTGCCTGGGGCCACACAGCTAGTAAGAGTCTGAATCTAGATATGAACTCAGGTTTACCTGACTCCAAGCCTAGTGCTCTATCCATTATACCACCTACCTGCCTCCTCCATAGCACAGTGCCTTGTGTGTAGCAGATGCTTACTAAGTCTTTAATTAAATTGAATGGAGCTGAATTGACATCTAATATCAATATTTCTACAGATCTCTCGGCACAGGAGAAATCATTCCCAGCATGTCTTGAAGGACATCATTACTCCTCTGGAACAATTGGTAAGAATTTGCATTCCATTAATGGTTGAATTCGGATATAGTTACAGCAGGTTTCATTTTAAATAAATGAAGAGAGAATTTCATATGCTATATTATAGTCATAGAAACATTAAAAATGTTCTTATATGGTCTTAATCTGGTCTTTCATACATCAATAATTTCCTCTTCCTTATCCTTATCCTGGCTTTCTTAAACATCCCCATGACCTTTTTGTCATCTTCATTTTCGTTGACCTCTCTGATTCATTAAACAGTGGTCACTCATCCCCCTTTAAACCCTGATTCTTTGGTTTGATGGTGGTACACTATTGTGAATGACCTCCTCCCTTTCCCGTTGTTCCTTCTTTTTTGTCGTATGTAACTCCTCTGAATCTTCCATCTTTTATGAATAATACCTGAAGCTCAGGCTGTGGCTCTTTTCTTTTTCTATAGTCTTATAAACAAAAATATCTTGCCAGTGGCTTCAAATGTCACCTCTATTCTAATGACTCCCAAGTTTATACTCTCATTTCTATTTTCTCTGCTGAGTTTCAGTCTCAAATTATATCAGGCATTTTTACTTTCATATCTTTTATTCACATCAGTATCAAAGTTTTTGATTAAGTATCTTATATCATTAAAGGAGAAGGAGAAATGATATAGATTAGAGGGTCACAGGTGGAGAACCTGCAGCCTTGAGGCCACATGTGGCCTTTTAGGTCCTCAAGTGCAGCCCTTTGACTGAATTCACACTTCACAGAGCAAATCCCCTTAATAAAAGGATTTGTTCTGTAAAACTTGGATACAGTCAAAAGGCTGTACCCAAGGACCTAGAAGGCCACAGTTTCCCCACCCCTGTATTAGACAGTAATAAAATTGAATAAATATAGAATTGGTTGTATAACAAGCCTCAAAAAGTCTCTTTTATGAGTTCAATTTCAACAAGTCAAGAGAGGTCTCCAGGAGAATACTCCATGAATCTATACTTGGCTTTGTGCCAATATTTTTATCAATGACTTGGAGAAAAAAAATATATAAATGTCTTATCAAATTTGTAGATGATACAAAGCAAGGGATAGCTAACACATTGGATGGCAAAATCAGTATCTAAATACATCTTGACAGACATACATTTGACTGAATATATGAAAAATGAAATTCATTAGAAATAAGTATAAAATCTTATACCTGGATATAAAAAAAATCAACTTCACAAGTATAGGACTGGGAAAGCATAATTAGGCAGTAGTCATTCTAAAAAATATATAGGGTTTTTAGAAGGACATGAGTAGTGTGGTGTGGCAGCCAAAACAGTTAATACAGTCTTGAGCTGCATTAAGTGGAGCATTGCTTCTAGGAACAGGGAGGTGATAGTCACACTGGAGTCTGACCTTGTCAGACCTCATCTGGAATGTTGGGTCGTGAAAATGAGGATTATGAAAAGGTCCTAGGTTTGTTTAAGGAGGGCAATAAGAGAGTATCATTGACCTTTGAGGGAGAAGTTTGAGACCATATAAGAAAAATGTTAATGTTTCCTTGCCTAAAATACAGTTGAATAAGGATATGGATAAACTGAGGAGTACCCAGAGTTTGGCAACTTGCTGCTTGTGAAGAGCCTTGAGTCCTTGTCACATGGACACGTTTAACCTTAAGAAGAAAAGAATGAATGGGAGGGTGCATAATAGTTACCTTTAGGCATATGAAAGACTAGCCTGTGAAGAATGGATCAAATTTGTACTCTTTTGCCCCAGAAGACAAAACAGGGGTGGAAACTGAAGAGGCTAATGTAAGCTCAGTAACAGGAAAAACATTCTAATAATTAGAGCTGCCTCCAAAGTAGACTGGGTTATTTTTAGAGGTGGGGATTCCCCTTCCTTGGAGTTCTTCAGACAGAGTCTTGTCCACCACTGGTCAGGATGTTATAGTAAGGATCTCATTCATATATGGATTGGACTAGATGTCACCTGAAGTTCCTCCCAAATCTCAAACTTTATGACTCTAGAAAGTAATTTTCTTCTCCCTTTCTCCCAAATCAGCTTTATATTCAAATGCCCCTATCTCTGTCCATGGAAAACAGCATCCCCTATCCTTATCCATATATACCAGCTTAGAGTTACTTGACAAAGCTGTCTTTCACCCTTGATATCATAAGCCACAAAGTTCTATGGACTTTATTCAGAGAAAGGACTGATAAATGGAAGTATATTGTATAGAATAGTTTTACATATACATAGATAAAGATATAGATATATCTATTTGTGTCTAATGGTAGCCATCTCTAGGGTGGTGAAGGGGGGTGTGGTAGGGAAGAAAAAAAGGAAAAAAAAGATAATTTTGTATTTTTTAAAGGAATAGCAAGTTGCATATAGAAGATTTGCAGTTTCATGTACAATCATCTTTTTATTGTACTGTTATAAAAACGCTTGTTTTATTCCACAAATAAAAAAAAGTTCTATGAACTTTTTATTTGAAATGCTTTTTCATATCCATTGTTTTATCTTCATTCCCACTGCTGTCTCCTTAATCCAGGACCTCAGGATTACCCATCTAGATAAATGCAATTGCCTTTAATTGGGCTCCCTTACTTCTCTCCTTTTTAAATCTATCCTATAGTATAACATAGAATAGCATAGTATAGTATAGTATAGTATAGTATAGTATAGTATAGTATAGTATAGTATAGTATAGTATAGTATAGTATAGTATTTTTATCTTCTTTAAACAATTCTTTCATCACATCATTCACTTTTCTAAAAGCCCAAGTGGTTTTTTTCCCCATTTTCTATCATGTCAAATCTTAATTTTACTATCTGTCTTGGTCCTTCAAAATCTGACCTCACTATAACTTTCCAGTCCTCATTTACCACTATTCCTCTAATTATATCAGCTTGCTTGCTATCCCTGAAGTGTATCATCTCATTGTTGTTTCCAAAGCTATACTTGCACGTATTTTTTTGTTTATTCTGTTACCTAGAATGTTTCTCTACTACTCCAACTTCAATGCTTCCCTTGTCCTATCAATTCCAACAAAAATTTAGCAGGTACTACAATTTATGTTTTTCATTATTCTTAATGTGTTTTGCCCTTTAATTTTAAGGTCCATGAGGGTAGGGATTATGTCCTACAAAGTAACTCTATAGCATCACTTAAATCCAATTCACTTGCAAGTCATGACATCTCCTTTGTGGTGTCATGGTCCTCTTCCAGAATGAAGGATGAACAACAACAACAGCTGTGCCTAGTAGACTACTCAGCATGACATAAATTACTTGATTAACATAATAATAGCTATATATTTGAAGCTTGGTAAAATGAGATGGTTCACTTTATTTTTAGAATTTTCTTAATCTCTTTTTCTAATACAACCTAAATTTTTCAACGTTATCTCTCCTCCCAGAGAGCCATCCCTTTAAAACAAAGAATAGAAAAAAAGAAGGAAAAGCAGTTCAGCCATCGTTTTTTTAGTGTTCCACATCTATGACCTCCCCACTGCAGAAAAGTAGGGGTGAGATGTCTTCTCATCTTGTATTTGAGGCCCGACTTAATTTTGCAGCATTCAGCTTTAATTGTTTCATTGTTGACTTTCCATCTCCATTGTTATAATTATAGGGAGAAAGAGAAAACCACAAATGTAACAGAAGTGAGGGCTTACCTGTGGTGAAGGCTGTCTTAACGTGTGGCTTAATGGGAGACAGCATAGACATCTCTAGTCTGTTCTCCACCCCACAGCTCTGCCCCCATCCTTCTCCAAGGGGTACTTTTATTCTTGCCAGGAGCGGAAGCAGGAAGTTGGGGCCTGAGTTTCCTCAATTGTAAAACGAGAATCATAATACCACACACCTCCCAAGATTGTTACTATTTGCACAATGCTTAGCACAGTGCTTGGTACATAAGAAAGCACTTAATAGTGCTTTATCCCTTTTTAAACCCTCCTTCTTCCCTCCTTCCTCCCTTCCTCCCTTCCTTCCTTCCTTCCTTCCTCCTCCTTCCTTCCTTCCTTCCTTCCTTCCTTCCTTCCTTCCTTCCTTCCTTCCTTCCTTCCTTCCTTCCTCCCTTCCTCCCTTCCTTCCTTCCTTCCTCCCTTCCTCCCTCCCTCCCTCCCTCCCTTCCTTCCTTCCTTCCTTCCTTCCTCCCTTCCTTCCTTCCTTCCTCCCTTCCTCCCTCCCTCCCTCCCTCCCTCCCTCCCTCCCTCCCTCCCTTCCTTCCTTCCTTCCTTCCTTCCTTCCTTCCTTCCTTCCTTCCTTCCTTCCTTCCTTCCTTCCTTCCTTCCTTCCTTCCTTCCTTCCTCCCCTCTTTGTTCCTCCCTCCCTTTCTCCCTTCTTCCCTCCCTCCCTTCCTTCTTTCCTACTTTTCTTCCTTCCTTCCTGCATGCCTACCTGCCTACTTTGCAAATTCACTTTCCCCCATGAGGGGCTACATCCTCTATTAAGGCATTTCTATCTTCTCTGCTTATCAGTTTGATCTTTGAGTCCTAAGATGGCTTTTTTTTTTTTGCAATTGCAATCACATAAAAGATTATATATAATATATTTGTAAGCATTTTGGAAAGAAAAACATGAAGCTTGCTAGGATGGTATTTTACTTTGGTGCTCTAGTGGATCTGTGATTTCATTCATTCACAGAGGCAAATTGTAACCTCTCCATGCTGTATTGTCCTGTTATCTTATCATCGACATAACATCCGCCATTTATATTGTACTGTAAGTTTCACAAAGTGCTTTACAAATATCAACTCATTTGATTCCTCTACAAGCCTGGGCGATAGGTACTATTGTTGCCCCCATTTTACAGTTGAGGAAACTGAGGTGAACAGAGGGTAAGTGACTTGGCTAGGGTTACACAACTGGTAAGTGTCCAAGGCTAGATTTGAACTCAAGTTTTCTTGATTCCTCTGCACCACCTAGCTATCTACGTAGTTCTGGTCCATGTTTTACTATAATCATTCCATAGAAGACTTTCCCACATAAAGTATCTTGGGTGCACCAATATGCCACTGAGGCTGTTCATCTGTTGTCTGATGTT